ACTTAATGTCGACGCCGACAGCGACGCTTGTCGTTTGTCATTCGATCCGAGCAGCGAAGGCGTTTGATATATATGTAAGTGTATATTCCCCAGGCTTTCCCCGGATTTTTGTGGGGCAGCGTTTGAAAAACGATATATGGAGACGTGTTGTTACGTTGTACCACGCGTCTTCTGGTGCGTGCAATGCAAATCCGCAGCCAATTCCAAATCCAATGGAGCGTGCAGCCCCGATCCGGAGACTTTCTGTACTTACCATATTCTTATGTTTCGATGTGGGTGTGCAGGTTTGCTTGTCGCATTCGGCATGGCTTGTGGGTGGCCAAGTGGAGTTGGCGGCGATCTGGCGAGGGCTGAGGTGGAAAATATATAACCATGTTCAAAAAATAAATAAAATTAATATAGGTGCATTTCCTGCTGTAAACCATATTCGATACGCATTAGGCTCTTAGTTGGGTTGATGTTTGATACATTTTATAATCTCTGCGTTAGCTAGACAATTCACATTGTCTGTATAATATTTTGTATTTATTGTACACTGCTTTGATTGATCTAATTCTTGACCAATTAACGTCAGCCTCCTGCAAGTGCCTGCAATCATTGGTTGGCCATCTCTGCTCTGGCCTATTGCCCTGCGATTCAGCATAGCGCACAACCAGAGCCTGTGCCTTTTCATCACGGACTTCATTGTCTGGGCGCGCGGTCAGTTTGGGATTGTTGTTAAGTAAGTGTACTTAACCCACATGACTTGCGGTTTTGGCCTTTCTCAGTGCGGGCTAAAAACTCGGTTTCTGCCCGTGGCTGTCATCACTCGAAAAGGCCAAAAAGCTGTCATTGCCTGCGATCTGTTGAGTTGTGGCCACAGTGCGTATACGTGTGCGTATGCGTGCGCAAAGAGATTTCTTAACCTTGAGTGACTTTGAGCGTTTCTCAACCAGCCGTCCAATCCAATCCATCCATCCGTCCATGTTTATTTATGCTCCCCCTTTGGTTTTGCGTTTATTAACCAATTTTTTTCGCTGATTGTGTTTTGGGTTTATTAAATTACCGATTGCACGTGTGCGTGTCTGCGTACTTGACTGTACGCTCATTTCCTTAATTAAACACTTGTTTCACGGTCCGTTGGCCAATCCTAAAGGTATTTCATAAATAAAAATGCCAAAGATTAGCAAAAAATCAAGCTGATGAAAGTCATTTGCAGAAATAATGTTCAATCGGCGAAAAGTGATTATATTCGAAGATTATGTAAAAGCGATCAACAGCAATTTTCAATGGCTAGCCACAGATTATCAAGTTCAGTGGAAAGTTGCTTCATCATTACTTTTAAAGAGCTGGCTTTGCGAAAAATATTGACACGAAGTTGATTTGTTGAAAAATATCATTTCCATGTCATATTTATTTCTGAAGTAAGAGTACTAAAGTAATAACTTATCCATACTCTCCTTGCAATTATAATATAACATCCACTTCCTTTGCATATCGTGCTACCAGTTATTGTTCTACTTGATCTTCTTGCGTGTAACTTTCAGTTTAACCCTTCAAGATGTTTTCCATTAACTTGGCTTGTATCTGACAGTTGCCATCTATAACAAATAAATTCATGGCTAGACCCATTAAAAGCTTATTATGCTTTTTGTGTGCCACTCTGGTTTTATTGTCCATTGTCGAGAGCTGGAGGTTGCGCGTTCCCAGTCTCCCAGTTGAAGAAGCCACCCACAAAGTGGTGGGAAAAGTAATTTTCATAATTTTGCACTCCGACACCTTCACCTTCACCTCCTCCTGTTTGAGAATCGGAAGCCCCCGGGGAATATAATTCTCGACTCGTTGGGGGAATTCACATTTACATCGAGCTGGGCGAGAGCTGTGAGCTGGAACCCCTTATTAAAATGGCACTAATTATGGCAATTTGTTATTGGCCAAAACGAGCTGAGGCCAACGCCCATGCCCACTTCAAAGCCAGGTTAGGTTTTGGCCAGATCAAAAGCTTATTAGCGAAAGGAACAGAATTGTGAGGCGATGGAAGGTACGCCCTCACGCATAAAGTGGTAGAATATTTAAATTATAAAAGGTAAAAACAAACGAGTAAATACGTTGGACATACATATCTATCGCCGAAGGCCAAACACGCTCTTGTACACGCATATTGAAATGTGTACATTTTTATTTATTATTTTTTTTCGGTTTTATTATTTACCCTCGACTCGACTTCAGGCACCAGGTGATGATTCGCTATTTGCTGGAAAGGGGACTCGTTTCGGTTCGCAAGGGGTTAAGGCGGGAAGTCGGAGAAGGTTAAGACGCAGTATGTGTACATGTGCTACAAATTGAAGGCTTTTTATGGGTCTACCCTTGCCCTAGGGGTTCCTTTGTGGGCCCCAGAAGTTGGGCTATAGATCAGCAGATTATAGATCGTGACTTCGTGGCTAATAAGTCACTGAAACCCATAATTACAGGGCGTCTGCTGATTTAATTAGGGAACTATTAGGTATGTTTTCTTTCAGAAATATTAAATAGTTAAAAGCACTTTATGCCAACTGGTTTAACCTAGTATTTTCATAGTTAGAGTATCCCGAGTTCTTCCTGTGACTCGCAACTTAAATTTCACTCCTTCATCATTACTTGCTGCCCGCGAAGCTTTTCATTTGATGTCTCCCCTCGTTTTCCCATGGCCCCGGCCAAAAAAGGGAGAATTGCTGGCCGCGAATGGGTCCGGGGGGCAGTTGAGGGTTAAGTATTGGCATTTCCGACTGGGAGACCGAGACTCGTCTTCATTGAAATCGAGCTCGAAGCTCAGAGCTCAGAGCCTCACAATCGGACTGGGCACCCAAACGGGGACTGACTGGATCCCAGTTTCAACTTGCACACGGCATGGCAATCAAAGCCAGTAAATCTACACCAAAAGCAACAATAGCCGGGCGGGCTAACAACAACAACCAGAGCAATATTTGTGCTCATTAAGCGTAACTGACACACGAAGTTTTTTGTTTTTTGGAGGGTTTCTTCATTTCGCAAGTCGCCAAAAACTACGCCAACGGGACTGAGTTTTTTCGGCTGAGGCTGTGACTCAAGATCTGGCCCCCGTTCTCCGTTCTTCCCTCCACTTTTTTGAGAGAAGAGTTACTGCATTGTTTTGTATACCCTTTCTGAAGGGTACTAGCATTCTTGCGATGCTTTCTGCAAGAAGAAGCGCCTTGCATCGCTTACTAAGGAAATTAAGTTTATTAGAAAACTATAATTAAAGGAAGCTGAGGAAAGTTAGACACAGAGTAGTAGTTGTGTACAACATCTGATATTACATATTATTGCATACTTTTAGACTCCTCAGATGGCGGCATTCCATAAAAAAGGGTATCCGAATAGTTGCCTTCTTGACACTTCACTTTTCCCTTCTTCGCTTTGCATTTTCGTTTTTCCTTTTGGCCAATTTCAGGCCCCCCAAAAGGGCTGAGAGCGATTGCTATTATTTTGAGGTAATTCGATGATTTACAACAGTTGCCTTGTTTTGTAAGTTTTCTTTCCAGAATGCCACAGATCCCACTGACTGTCCAGCGGAGCCGTATTTGTGTGTGCTTCAGACCCCGGGTGTCTGGGTCTCTGGGTGCAACAATGAAGGGCCCAACCTCGACCAGGCCTCGCCACATTCCTTTGTTATTTTCGCAATGTTTCCCCAGTCTCTTATTGTTTTTGTAGGATTCTTTTTTATTTCGTTGGATGGGTACTGCTGTAATTCCCGCATACCCCGAAGATCTGAATGAGTTTGGTGCTCTCAGGGGAAGTGGTCGCCTTTTGTAAATTCTTTCGCGGGCATCTTACATTTCACACCTGTTGTCATTTCTCTCACCCTGATGTGATGTTTGCGTTCAAAAAGGGGGAGTCCTTGGACAAGTTGACAGCCTAAATAGCTCGAAAGGGGAAGAAGTGGCTAGGTTCCACCTACGGCATATGTCAGCTGTAACTGATATGCAGATGTTCCTCTCTGCATTTAAATGAAATTGATTACTTTCCGCTCCGACGGTGGCTATTAACTTAGCCATATTACAGCTTCAATGGTAACCTATATACCACCTATCTTACACATATAGAAGATGTTAGATGACTAGTCTTTATTAATACGATACGATAATACAAGCATAGGCTATTACATATGTAAGTATATAACCCCAACCATATTTTGTTAAAACGTTCTGATGCAACACCCATCTTGTCATTACCACAAATTGCCCTACCTAACTACCATAATCACGTCAATCTCCGAGCTCCGCAACATTTCAATTTTCCTGCCCCAGAGAGCCGCCATCCATCAAAGCATGAACAATTTCACTTTCCAGATACAAATGCGGTGATATGCGGTGATTCAGTGCATCGGGCTGGCTTTCGGTTTCCAAACCAGAAGCGGAAGCCTCCGTTTAGTCGACGCACATCTGGTGATTAGACGCTTCAGCGCCAGCCCATCCGATCCCAGCCAGAAAGCGGAGACGAACGACATGTTCCCTTTGCTACACCGAAAGAAATAAGAGTCCTTAAAGGCCACAAGATACTTTTAACATCAAAAATGGCATAAGAACACTTATGATGGGATGTCCTGCAAGAACTCTAATTGCAACTCTCAGTTTGTAGCAACATAGAAATGCCATTAGTAATATGAACTGATCATATCATATATATCATAAGTTGGGGGACCCTTTTTCTCCGTGTGCTGGCGACATTTCGGCGACGCTTCGCTGCACTTTGTTGAGCACTCCGTGGCGAGGACGTGGACGTGGACGTGTGTGCCCGCCTCGTGTGCCATGTCATGGCTCCAGTGGTGCGATAAATGCTCATTTCACTTTCTATCAGCGTCTCGCGGCAGTCTAATGGAGGTTTAATTATGCTGCTCCGGCGGCGTGCCCTCGGCTGTCGCATAAATTACACCGAGCAATGGCTTGATTTATTGCTGGCCTATAGCTTTTTCCACTTAAGATTTTCGCTAATGCCCTGCCCATTTTTTGTGTGCTATCTTGCAGTGACTTGACAATATGACTGCGAGGTCATAGACTCCGGAAAATAGAGGCGAGGGACGGGCAGAGGACGGAACACCGAAACGACACAAGGCGAACAAGGAACCAACACGAAAATGTCCGGCAATCAACAGCAGCAGCAGCAGCAACAGAAGTCATTAACTAACAACGCGGCAGCAGCAGCAACAAACGAAACAACCACTTTGGGCCATAATTTGATAAAAATAAATAGCGTTGACAAAATAGTGGGCAAAAGTCAGGCAGCAACGCAGGCAATTAACAAACTACAGCAGCAGCACCAGCAACAGCAACAGCAACAAATCCAGCAGCGACGCTCATTGCTGCCAGCAACAGGAGGAGCCACTAATCCCCACCAGCCACACTCATCGCAGCAACAAAGCGGAACGCCAACGCCAACAGCTCAGACGGCAGCCCAAAAACATCAGCACCAGCAGCAACAGCAACAGCAGCAGCAGCAACAATCACATCAATTGCAGACTGTGGCCACGATACACCAGCCGCACTCCACGCAGCAGCAGGCATTGACTTCCCGCCTGCCCATCCAGCAGCAACCCGCTAAAGAATTGCCCAATCTAGCCGGCCAGCAGCGCCGCAGCTTCCACTACCAATTGCAGCATCAGCAGCAATCTCTGCGCAGCCCGCAGCTGAAGGCACCGGCACCCGCCCACTCCATACCGCCGAGATACCAGCCACCGCCTCAGCCGGCCACAGGGATCCTCAAGCCCCACTTGCCACTCAAATATCCGCCGGATATCCCCCAGCTATCTAGCATCTACATTCCCGACTCCGTCAAGCAGCAACAGCAACAGCAGCAACAACAGCAGCAACAGCAGTCGCGATATCTGCCAGCACACCAGCCGGGAGCGAAGGATATGCTGAAGTTTGTGCGCAAGCCGGACCAGGAACACCCATCGCCCAATGCCTCGGTCACGTCCAGCGGCACGGGAATACCCACGGCCAATGGCGGTGGTCGTCTGACCGCCGAGCAGAACCGCCAGTTGCAGTCGCTGGTCAATGAACTGCGTGCCCTGAAGGAGCAGAATCAGCGTCTGCTGGACGACAACCAGGAGTTGCGAGATCTGTGCTGCTTCCTGGACGACGACCGGCAAAAGGGACGCAAGCTGGCGCGGGAATGGCAGAGATTTGGGCGATACACAGCCAGCGTGATGCGACAGGAGGTGGCCGCGTACCAGGTGGGTTAAGCCTTCAACAGCACTCCAGCTCTTTGAATACTAATGACCTTCCTCTCTGCAGAACAAACTACGTCAGCTGGATGATAAGCAGCAGGAGCTAATCACCGATAATCTGGAGCTCAAGGAGCTGTGCCTCTACTTGGACGAGGAGCGTGCCCATGTGGCGGCCAATGCGCTGTGCGCCGGATGCGGAGCAGCCACCAGAAATGCGCTTCGAGATGACGGCGATGGTTCCAGCTCCAGCACGAATGCAGATGAGACCATCACCGCCTTGAGGAACTATGCAGAGCAGCGGCAACTACCCCAGGTGCGAAAGGAGAGAAATCCCCAATAAGAACATGACCCAATAGCTATGTCAATTTGATTCCCAACAGGATCTACGTCATACCCACACGCTGAACGACCAGACGCTTCAGTATGTGCGCTCGCTGGAGCGCCGAATCCAGCAACTGGAGGAGGAGCGCACTACGCCCACGGCACACCTGCAGCAGCCGACGACGCCCACGCCGCAGGCCACGCCGACGCCAACGGCCACATCTGCAGCCACTCCAACCAAATCAGCAGCATCGCCCCACCAGCAGCAACAGCAGCAGCAGCATCAGCAGCAGCAAGACATCGTGGCCGCTGCAGCGGCGGCAGCAGCTGCTATCCAAATGCCGGAGCCGATTGCCGGGCGCCCAGAGGCGGTGGTCCGCGCCCTCCAGGTGCTCGAGGTGCGGGAGCAGCTAGAGCGAGATCGCATAGGCAACCTGGCCGGGAGCGCACTCGACCAAATGGACGATGGCGAGAAGGCGCTGGTCCGCGAGATGTGCAACGTGGTCTGGCGCAAACTGGAGGGCAGTCCACATGGGCCGGCGGCCCTGGAGCCGCTCTAAGCCGCTCTTGGCGGAGGGAGCCAAGGGCGGAGGCAACCTAAGGCGGGCTAACACCTAGACTCTAATGTTTAAAGCTAACTTATGCCGTAACATTTAACCCTAAACATTGTACAAAGTTCAAACCACAACCTAAGCTTAAGCTACCGCTGAAGGCGAAAGAATACTCAACAAATATTTGGGATACTCCAGCAACTGATTCGCGATGCAGGGAAATAAATTGGGCTAGGCATATAGACCATTAGTTACCCACTTTTTGATATCAGAGTTCATTTAATGCAGATATTGTTAGATTCAGCTTCAAATTCCAGCCTTAACTGGTCTTAAAGCTGTACGATTTGGATGCGAATCGATATAAACTGTTCAGGTTGATGACTCCGCAGAATCAAGTAATCAACGCAATTGTTGTTTATTTTCGATTTGGACAAACTTTCTTGGGATCACTCTTTTTAATTAGTTTCTAACTCTGCTGTTCAGTTGATGGAGTATGCTCACAATTATTTTATTTACTTATTGTAAACTTTGACTGTTATTTTTGAATGCCAAGAGGAAAACTACTTTCATGAAAAATTTGCTAACTCGAAATACAATGCAACAAATATTTCCATACTCATCAATGGGCCTCTGATTACTTAAGTACTTTAATTGGAATGCTTTATGTCCGCTGCCCACTGATTCACTGTTGCAGCCGATCCAGAAATGTATCTTCATTCTGTGATAAATTTTACGCTCGTGGTTTTTGGGACAAACGCAAACTACCGCCGAGCTGTTTAACCTGATTCTGCTTGGCCAATTTGTCCGTATCGCATTCATTCAGTAAGATCGCCGCTCGCGGGACAGGAAGATGCAGCAGTAAACGGCTCGAACGTAAGCCAACCCACTTTTGGCCGTTCTGGTTTTCCCGCTCTTGCTGCTCATCGGCTAATTCATGCATTATCCACTCCAGCGCCGGTTTGGTCTCGGTCGCGCCTCGCAGATTCCAGGTGCGAACATGTGAGTCTTCACTTTAGGCTCATTAAATATGCAACCCATATTTTTCCCTTTTTGCTGGTGCGGATTGGCTCAGGCGGATAAAAATCAGTTTGACGGCGTGTAAAGGGAGTTGTACCTAAACTAAAATGGAAGTGTTTTCCGAATAGCTTACTGCTGACAAATGTTGTATGTAATAATCTACTATACTACTTTTTTTAAAGGCTCTGAGCCCATCCTATTTTCAAAGTTATATTTATCAGCTCCTTATTCGTGAGATTGAAAGTGATTGCCTGGTTAGCTGGAATGGCACAGCGTAAGTGCAGTTTTATTGTAAACCAATATAAGCCGCATCAAATAAGATGTACATATAAATCTCACTGCTGAAGTAGCTTCTTGATATAGCGACCCACCACCAAAAAAGGACGCTGCTCGAACTCGTGCTTCTGGTCCATTGTTATGGTAACCTAAAGAGCAATGTGATTTTAGTTTACGGACATAAATGTACATTGGGGATTCCCCTCACCTGATCCCCCTTGAGACGATCGATCAGGGTCACGCAGACATCGCCAGCCATGACCCCCACTTTTTGTGTTACGGATGCGAACATGCTGGCCTCCATCTCGATGTTCCGGATTCCCAGGTCGTGGCACTTCTGCAGGAACTCCATCTTGTCCTTCTCCGTGTACTCGCAAATGGCTCCGTCGGTGCGTCCCTGACCTGGTTGGAAAGTCTATCGTGTTAGACTCCTCTGGTTCGGGGCGAAGGTAACAACATACCTTCGTAGAAGCAATCTGTTCCCATTGTGTTGGCACTTATGGTCTGAAATCCGTCGTTGGCATCGACACCGAATGCAATTACATCCCTGATCACGTCCTCGGAAAACACGGCCGGTCGCACCACACGTTTTCCGAGAATAGCCTGGAATGCATTTAAATTGTACATTTTCAACTATGCTACGTTATACTTGTGACCAACAATTTGAGTAACTTACGATCTCATGCTCGTTGCGAAGCAGGCCATTGAAGGCATTTTTGGTGACCACCACTGTGCCGGGAGGCACACCGAGTCCACCGCAGGTGCCGATCCGGATTATGACGGGCTCCTGGCACCGCGCGTACTTGACCAGCTTGAGCAGCTCGTGGAGCACGACACTGAAGGTGGAGGATCCAACGCCGTGGCTCACGCACAGCACCGGACCCACCTTGTACATGGCATATCGCTGGCCACGCTCGCACAAGTCCACCGGATCGCCGGACTCTTGGACGCTTAAGACATCTCGTAGGTACAGGGCTAACTGCCGCATTCTGGATCCCGTTCCACCCACGCAGATGACCTTCAGATTCTCCACATTAGCTATCCGGAGGTACATATTTCACTGACACTATCTTACCTTGACATCGCCAAACCTGTGCTGCAGCTCACTGGTGTCCCGAGTATTTCCCACATTGATATCCAGGTGGTACAAATAATCCATTGGCATGGTTTCCAGGTGGGGATTCCGCAACTTGACGAATCTGAAAACTATATCTCGCACAGTACTTACAAAGAAACTAGAATAATAAGATGCGTAACTGCCATACAATGCACTATGGGAAATTTGACCTAATTTGTTGGCAAAAATGTGTTTTTAAAAATTTTGAAAACGAATGTTTGAATGATCTTCATATATGAAAAAATATTAAAATGACTTATTTTTTAACGTTAAAATAGATACTAAATAATATATTGAGTAGAAAAAAAATTTTTTTTGATGGTGTTGGGGGGCGTGGTGGGCTTAGGCCACTAAAATAGAAATTACTTTCTTGTGTGACTGAAAATATAAAGCAAAAAAATGTGCATGTGTGCGTAGTTGTGCTAGAAGACGATTTTCGGTCTGAAATTAATTTTAATCTAAGAAACAAATTTTATTAATGTTTTGGTCAATTTCGTTGTGACTATTAAATCTTTGTAAGAAGTTTTTTTAATATTCGTTAGTTGACATCGCCGCTCGAATTAGCTTCCGTTTACAAATTAACTTTACATATAAACCTTTATTGAATATAAATACGGATATATTATTAAAATTTGGAAAAATAGTAGAAAACGACGAGCTGTATGACTTTTTCAGCTTTAAGCAAACGGATTAAGAGGAACTAAAAGAAGAAACAATACATTTAGCGCCTTTTTACCACCCAAAATTGCGCGATTTTTAAAAATATCAAATTAGAATATAACAAAAACATTCAAAAAAATTATATTTGCATTTCAAATACTGAAAATTACTTGTATAGTAGTAATTTATACTAAATAGTTAAAAAAAACTTCATATGCAACCTTTTTATTGCAAAATTGAATTCTGCAGGCAGGACCAGCGCACCTAAGAATCACTAACTTCAAACATATTTTCCACGTCGCAAGCTGAATACTCTAACGACACATATTCCAGTATAAAGTAATTTATGAAATTAATTAGGTACTATTATGTACATTTATTCACCTATAACTATTGCTATGATGTATTTAAAAATTTATCATGTTAAAACAATGCAAAATTAGAGTTTTTACATGGTGTCGATCGATGACATATTTTGTCAAATTGACAATATATGCATAAGTGTGCACACATGAGTGATCGACTGTCGCTGTATGCGTACAAGAGAGCTGCTGGCTCAAGAGCGCTCTTCCTCTCTCTGGCTCTTGAACAAAAATTCAAGAGAGCCTGGAGCCAGCTCTTGAGCCAGCACAAAACAATCGTGTGCATAAAATCGTATGGGGGTTACTCATCTTATTATTCTATTGTCTTTTGTACTTTCATTAAATGAAGCGGTTGGTACTTACTTTTCAGACATTTTGGGTTAATTCCTCCTCAGTTCCTGTTAAACGTGTATACAATTCTGAGTTTTCTACACCTTAGAATAAGCTTTCCTCGGCGATTTTCCGATCGTACGAATTCTTCGAAAAAGCTCTCTATATGTACATATGTATATTTCTAAACAATATATTGTATTTAAATATATCTTTTATATTTACGAATAATATAAAGAAATATATATACATTGATAGGAAATATTATCAGTACCAACGAATCGTCGCTTGCCACTCAACGTTAAATATTAGCGTCGTTTATACTCCATGCATTTCCACTCGAGTGCAGAAGATTACAACGCAGTTAGATTGCACTGTGGGGAATTTGACCTGGATTGCTATACAGTGTTGGAAAATATAATTGAAACACGTTGGTTGAATAATGGACTTTAAATATTCTTCAGTATATATTTTAACGTTAAAAAATAAGTCATTTTAATATATGAGGATCATTCAAACATTCGTTGGCATGTTTAAATTCGCACGACCACAAATGAAGGACTTCTCGCGGAAGGGGAAGTCGCTTATGTTTTACTCGACCGCCTCAAAAGCGGAACCGAGTGTTTTCAAGTTTCTGCTAAGTAAGACAGTACGAGACACACTTCTTTCTAAGCTGATTCGAAATGGAACATTATACCAGCGAGAAACGGAGAAACGGAGAAAAGCAGTTCCAGACAAGCAGATGGTGCAGAGTCACCATCATCGACCAGTAGTCATCTGGTTCAGATCGAGCAGCATCCTCGCATCTCGAAGATGGAGACGGGCGCACTTATCATTCAACTTCGCACCGAATCGCACGAGCGAATAAAATAATCGGAGAGGAGTCACAGCTGAACACACGTGGCATTTCAGTGGACATGGACATGGAAGCCATAAAAGCGCTGACGTCGAGCCAAAACCTTGCTAACCAGTCCGACTCCAACTGGGAGTCCAAATGCACAGCAAAAGCGTTCTTCAGCCAGAAGTGCAGTGTCAGTAAAAAGAAAGTCACTGGAGCCGGTTGTAGCCACCTACTGCCCTCCCTCTTCGCTGCACTTTGCTTACTAATCATCCAGGTGGGACTGGCCAACGAAACGGCCTGGCCACCAATGCGACATTACGATATTTGGGACGACCACTTGGGCGAGCCGGGCGGTCTTGAGGAGGATTCCCTCGCGGAGGAGGCGGACTTCAGGCTGCAAACGAGAGTACAGGAGGAACTGGATATGGATATGTCGCTGCAGGACATCTCTGATCGGAATTACAGCCAGACGAACAGCAGACAGGGAAAAGGTGAGATTCAAGTAAATATAATATAATAATGCAGGCTCAAATATGCTTCTTACCTTTACTTTCATTAGTGATCCATCTATTCCCGGTTCCCGTGGACGGCTACTGCACGTCCAACGATGGTCGGCGGATTGGCAACTGCCTGAATGCCTACGAGTGCCGCCAAAAGGACGGGCAGGCAAAGGGGGAGTGTGCCATGGGGTTCGGGGTGTGCTGTGTGTTCCTGGCCAGCTGCAACACTACGATCTCCAACAACATGACCTACATTGTGTCGCCGGGATTCCCCAGTTTCATGCCCAGCAACTTCACTGGCTGCAGTCTGCGGGTGAAGATGATGAGCGACGAGATCAGCCAGGTGCGGATTGACTTTCATCACTTCACACTGGGCCAGCCAAACCGAAGGACCGGAGTATGCGAAGGCGATGTCTTCACTATAGGCGGTGGACCAGGCGGAAACTTCTCTCTTTGCGGCCAGAACAGTGGTCAGCACTGTGAGTATACATTTGTGTAAGCTGCCTGAGTACTTTCCTCATGCACTTTTTTTTTCAGTGTACTACAATGTGGGGGCTAGGGCGGCACCACGACAATCTACTTTGTACGGGAGTCTGCGCCCTGTGGACGCGAGTAGTGACACTAGCAACTCCACCTCCACGGGCGATCGCTTCATCGACATCAGTCTAAGCCTGTCCAGCCGCCTTCTGCCCCTTCGTATTTGGGAGATGAGTGTGGTGCAGATCCCTTTCAGCCAGCGAGCTCCGGCGGGTTGCCTACAATATCACACCGGCACCGAGGGCGTTATGCAGACCTTTAACTATGCCGAGAATGGTCGACATTTGGCCAATCAGAACTATCGGATTTGTGTGCGCCAGGAGCTGGACATGTGCTCCATTATGTACCAGCCATGCGATGAGCAGTCCTTCCGCATTGGCGGTGGCGGGCGAATGGCGAGCCGAGGTGACGGTACTACTGAAGGAGCGGCGACACCGGGAACTTCGAGTCCTGCCACAGCACAATCGGATGCAGCAGGTGGAACAGCATCAACATTAGGCAATGCTGCAGTGACCACTACAGCACCCACTTCTAGCACCCTCATGCAGATGATAGCTAACATGGCAAATTCCACATCTACATCGCTGATGACCATGATGACCGGAAATTCAACTCTAGGAGCCAGTTCAGTATCAACCGCCAGTACAACAAGCAGCAGCCCCAGCAACGCTGCCATGAGCACGACGACAACATCAACCACTGCCACACCGCTCCGTTCCAGTACAGAGGCATCTACCACCTCTGCAACACCTGCATCCTCGCCAGCCAGCGATGATGTGGAGGGGTCGGGTGGTGAAGTTGGCGATGATGAGGATGACGACGGTGGGTTTCTCTTCTTCAGGAGTCGACCCACCACAGAGGGGCCGGCCGTTTCCAGACGTCCCCGTCCCAGTGGAGGCTTCGATATCATGGGCATTATTCGGAATGCCATCGATTTGCCGCTGAAGTGGCGACGGCGCCAAGCCCGCCAGTTCTTTAGCACCTGCTCCGACCGGATTACAATGCCGTGCATCATAGAGGATTTCATAGGAACGGGACTGGGTCCACTTCCTGGGTGCGAGCCCATCCACTGTGGCGCCCAATTCTGCTCCTCGGGCGTGTGGCCCTGTCGCATTGAAAGCACTGTCACTCCGTTCTATATTGGTGTCCACTTCGGCAATGGCCAGGGCTCTGGCAAGGCGAACGCAGAGGATAACGTGGGTGCGTGTCTGCGATATTCCCAAGTGCAATGCATGTAACGACGGGCGGGGCTATAAACTTTCACTTCGATTTAGTAAATTATTGTTCAATAATCAAAATAGATTCTAAATACTTTGTTCGTGATGACTTAAATACGTATTTTTACTTTGTGGGTTGATATTACCATACCGTGGATAAAATTATGTACAATATTTTCCAGCTTATTCGAATTTAGTTCACTTTGCATTTACATAAATGTCTTTCTTTGTTGTTCGTTTGCTTATATGATACAATATACATACATTGCTAATACATACATAAGTATAATGTGCAATCGGACGAGTTGTAGAGCTTATGAATTTGACTTAAACTGAACTGTGGATGTGCGTTTGAGAAAGCTGACACCACTTGGAATGGGAGCTGATAAGAGGTAAGCATATACTGATGAAACTTAACGATAGCTACACTTTTACAGGGCGATGACTTTGGCTTGCAGTGGAAGGTATTCATATATAAATAAGCATATGTATACTATACATGTATACTATTACTCACATTCGCATGACTTATTCTAGAAGTGTTCGCCAGCCGCCTTATACGACCTCGGACAATTTTGTTCGGCATACATGGCATAGGCGTTCTTTGACCCTTGTTTGATGGGAAGCTTGCTCGAATGCTTGTTCCACACGTGCACTACATACGAGTCCTTGCAGCGGGCAATTGTCTCCTCCAACTTTTCCGGCTCAAAAAAGTCTCGCCACTGCTTCCAGGGTACGGCGTAAAAGGCGCCCCGCCCGAATACCTTAAAGCCCATGCAGCGCTTTGGGTCCTCTTGCATCAGAGCAATGTCTTTGGTGCCACATATCTTCTGAGCCACACGGGTTATCACCCCTGGCCCATTGTTTCCCCAGTCTTTGCCGTTAAAGTTGTGCTGAAAGTCACGTAGACACGACGCGGCTATCTCGTGCCCAAAGCCAGTGGCTGCCAGATTCATTACGCCAGCGGCCAAATGGGTGTTGGACTCAGCACCTGTATAATTGGGCGGCACCTTCTCCATGTTGCGCAGCACCACCACATCCATGTCCAGATAAAGACCGCCATACCGATAGAGGGTAAGATAGCGGAGAAAATCTGATATGTGGGAGAACAAATATCTGGAAAAGAATTGTCCGTGATAAGTAATAGCTGGGAAGAGTGGTCAAGTCGAACTCACTTTGAACGCGACAGGCGGCCGTCTTTGAGCCACTCCTCCATGGGCGTACCGGATGCGTAGGTCTCGATATTCAGTCGTCGTAGATGTACATTGCTGTAGCTGAGAATGGCCTCTACCAATGGTTGGGGATGGCTATTGTTGTTAGAGATTCGATAGGTGGGACCAGCGAACAGGACGAACACTTGGAAACTCGGATTATGCATCGCTGCTGACTCGATGGCGCAGGCCTGGCGGGCGGTGACCCTCAGCGTCTCAAGCTGCCTGTTATCCGATAGGCGACAGCTGGTCTCGTGAAAGAAGATACTGTTGCCGGGCGAGGGTTTCGGGTCCGCCTGGAGTACGTCCTCCAAGAGATTCGTTTCGCCATCGGTAATTATCGCCTGCTGAGTTGCCAGTATTTGGCCCTCAATGAAGCAGGGGTAGTATTTATTTTCCGAACTGTAGATGTAAAAGCAGCCCACAATTACCATCAGCACTAGGATGATGAACATCCTACGGGCCGCCACAACGGGCAACCGGAGGAGCATGACTGCAGCTAGAACTGGAGGAAAGCTAGAGTATAAATGTCATTAAATTTGTAACATTGAAGGTTCCAACTCCTACTTACTCTATGTACGCCACATCGTCGTCATGGCAGGATGACCAAGCACCCTTGATAATAAGGAAATTCCAACTCCAACAATTGAAAGGCACAAGCCGCAGAACCACAACAGAAAGCACTGTTATCGCTCCGCGGAAGCTAATCGATAACATAAACTCGACCGGGTGGACAGTTCTACTGTACGGACTCGATAGCTCGATAGGGTGGGCAGTTCCCTTGCACAATCGGCATCTCTAGCGTGGAAAGCGGCATTTGCTTTGAGAATTTTCGGATATTTTCAATTACCGAACGCAACGTGAATTGGCCTGTGCAGCACGCAACGACCGGTAGACGTCCGTTACACCCATTACCAATATAGCAAAATAGTGAAATGAATGTTCCTCCTAGCGTGGGCAATGGAGGAGCGCCACCAGGAAGGGGCATGGGCTACACGCCGCCCGGTGCAATCGTGCCGCAGTTTCCACCACCCGGATTTGCGGCACCACCCCCGCCGGAGCTGGCTGCCGCCTTCGGCGTGATGGCCACCAGCACCGAGTGGACGGAACACAAGGCACCGGATGGACGACCCTACTACTACAATCAAAACACCAAGCAAAGCTCGTGGGAAAAGCCGGAAGCCCTGATGACGCCCGCCGAGCTGCTGCACAACCAGTGTCCCTGGAAGGAATATCGCTCGGATACGGGCAAAGTGTACTACCACAATGTGGCCACCAAGGAGACCTGCTGGGAGCCGCCGCCGGAGTACGTGGACATGAAGGCGAAGGCAAAGGCAGAAGAGTGAGTAAATTAGTTGTGCATCCCTTGCCACTTGGTAATATGATTCTTCGTCTTCCCAGAGCTGCTGCTGCCGCCAAAGCCGTGGCAGCCATGACATCATCCAGCTTGGCCGGCATGGTGCCACCTGCTGCTCTGGCTAGCATCCTGCCCGCTGCTCTGCCTGCTGCCCCTCGAATACCCACTCCTGAGATCCACTCGCCGCTGACATCCAGTAGCAATGAGAACTCGTCCTCCGCGATGGACCAGGCCATGGCCGCCACATTAGCGGCTATAGAGGTGCCACAACAAAATGGTAAATAATATAAGTTTTTGAAAATATACTGCATAAATCACACGTAATTCTTTGCAGCTAAGAAGGAGGACAAGTCAGATAGCGCTGTGGTGTTTAAGGATAAACGGGAGGCCATCGAGTCCTTCAAGGAGCTGCTGCGGGATCGCAATGTGCCATCAAATGCGAATTGGGACCAGTGTGTGAAAATCATATCAAAGGATCCGAGGTACGCAGCCTTTAAAAATCTGAATGAGCGCAAGCAAACATTCAATGCCTACAAGACACAGAAGATCAAGGACGAGCGCGAGGAGTCTCGCTTAAAAGCCAAGAAGGCAAAAGAGGACTTGGAGCAGTTTCTTATGTCCAGCGATAAGATGAACTCGCAGATGAAATATTTCCGGTGCGAAGAAGTATTTGCCGGAACGCCAGCGTGGACCGTGGTGCCGGAACCGGATCGGCGCGATATATACGAGGACTGTATATTTAATTTAGCTAAGCGAGAGAAGGAAGAAGCGCGGTTGTTGAAAAAACGCAACATGAAGGTTCTGGGCGAACTGCTAGAGTCGATGACTTCAATCAATCATGCCACCACCTGGTCAGAGGCTCAGGTTATGCTGTTGGACAACGCTGCATTTAAGAATGATGTGACCCTGCTGGGGATGGACAAGGAGGACGCCCTTATAGTCTTTGAGGAACACATTCGCACATTGGAGAAGGAGGAGGACGAGGAACGTGAGCGGGAAAAAAAGCGCATGAAGCGACAGCAGCGCAAAAACCGAGACTCCTTTCTCGTGCTGCTCGACTCCCTGCATGAAGAGGGAAAGCTCACCTCCATGTCGCTGTGGGTGGAGCTGTATCCCATCATATCAGCCGATTTGCGATTCTCTGCAATGCTCGGCCAGAGCGGCTCTACACCTCTGGATCTGTTCAAGTTCTATGTGGAAAACCTGAAAGCCCGCTTCCATGACGAGAAGAAAATAATAAGGGAGATCCTAAAGGAAAAGGCATTTGTGGTCCAAGCGAAGACGTCCTTCGAGGACTTTGCTACGGTCGTGTGTGAAGATAAGCGATCGGCCAGCCTGGATGCGGGAAATGTGAAGCTTACATACAACTCTTTGCTGGAAAAGGTAACTATTGAGGGGAGGCAAATGTTATTATCAATAAAAATCATGTATGCTTTTATAATCGCCAGGCTGAGGCCATTGAAAAGGAGCGGATGAAGGAGGAAGTGCGAAGGTTACGGAAACTGGAAAATGAAATTAAAAACGAGTGGCTGGAGGCGAACGTCTCAGTAGCCGAACCTTATGAGAGCGCCAAGAAGGTGGTGGAGCACCTTGAAGCATTTGCTCTGTATGAAAAGGAAATCGGTGTGGAGAAGATCTGGGAGGACTTTGTTAAGGAAAGCGAAGATGCGTGTAGCCATCATCATTCGCGGTCGCGAAAATCGAAGAAAAACAAGAAGCACAAAAAACGAGTACGTTCTACATCTAGATCAGATATCGAGAATGAGCACATAGAACTAGAGAAGTCCAAGCGAAGACGCTCCAAGTCACGATCGGTTAGTATCTAAACGTAACATTAAAATGAAATAATACTTTTACAATAATAATTAACAGCATTCCCTGAGCTCAATCGGGAGCATCGAAAGCGAAAAATTGTTGAAGAAGAAAAAGAAGCGCAAGAACAAACTGCGAGGTGTACGTAGCAAGTCGCCCTAATCCTCGAAACATATAAAATCTAACATGGCTTACATTTCAGTCCTCCTGCGAATCGGAAGTCCCAGGCGACCAGTCACCGGGAACTCAAGCACTTCTCCAGAACGACTCAAACTCGCACTCACCGGCGAAGAAAAAGAAGAAGGAAAAGCGAACTAAAAAGGACAAGGAGGGCAAGCGACACAACAGACACAATCGTTCTGGCACCCCCCTTAGTCCTGCACAGTCCGTAGAGTCGGTTGGATCGCGAAACGAGGAACTAACGTTAAGTGACGGCGAGCTGGAATCGAAGCGAGCGGCTCTTCTAGCCCAACTCAGCGAGCAGCTGGACGAGTGACCAGCTGAGGGGCGTTGATCCAAAGCCAACATATACAGCGTGTGGCAGTCTCCAGCTCTAGCTTAGGGAGGTTCGGGAGAGGCAACTAGCCTTCAGTTGCTGGACGAATTCTCTCTGCCTTCCACTGCACTCTGCTTCGTTTGGTTAGGATATTGTCCTGGTCCCAGCACAAGCCACACAGCGAACCGCTATTGTAATTTCTTAGTCGCAATAAGTTTCAGTGTATAAATGAGAATTAAACCTAACAAGTCAAATTTTAAGTTATACGCAAATGATTTTGAGTCTACATCAAAATAAACAAAATCTATCTTAATTATCTAAAAAGATTTTAGTTGTTTCATGTAAGCTCTTTTTTGTTGACTTGAATTAGTGGAACATCCTCATTTTATAGAAACTGTACGTAGATAGAAACCTTTAAATTGAATGAAGATAACTTATAGTTTTTACTATGTTTAATGACATCCTTGACAAGCGCACAAATGGAAAAATTGTTTTTCTTGTTGTCAAACTAAAACTTGAACTCCTTGTACTTCTTCGTGGTCTTGGCCGGATCCGTTTGCTGTCGCTTGCGCTTCGATTTCTGCCGCGCCACATGCTCGGCCAACATGTCTGATAGATCCTCCTTCTGCAGGTGATTCTGCTGCTCACGCATCTGTTGCTCATAACGCTGGGCCATAGCGTCATTGTCCAAGTCCAGTTCGCTGGGATCGAGCGCCAATTCCACGATGCCTTCGCGATCTGTGGTTGATCGAACTGGTGGCTGTTTGTTAGCCCCACTGACGTCGTAGACATGGGTGGATCCCATCATGGAAGCCCCTATGCGGTCGGTGCGCTTTTCGTGCAGCACTTGGTACAGTACGGGGGTTTCATTGCTAAAAATTAGAATAAGCCTATTATCTTGATCTTATCTTAAGTATATCAGTTCACTTACTCCTCCATCTCGGCTTCAATTTTCTTCTTGCGAAGCTCAATGTTCTCGGGAGTTTCCATGCCAGCTGGAACACTGGTGAGTCCAGAGGGTGTTACTAGTCCCTCTACTGGCGTAACCAGGCCAGTCTCATCCTGCTGATCGCCCAAGTCCTCGCCATCTTCCTCCTCCTCCTCGGATGATTCCTCTGACTCCGACTCCAGTTCGCCCCATTGGTTACGTTCGATATCAGCTTCGTCGATGCCATTCTAAATAAAACATTGAAATTGTAGCAACAATAGGTGTCAAGGGAATGTTGCTACTCACGTCGAGGTCCAATATGTTAGTTCCGAATACGTCACCGTACAGCGGTTTTCCGTTCTCATCCACTGGCGGCTTACCCCAACCTCCGGCATGATAACCGAACGAGGTTCCGTCTGGGATCGGCGCATTCAGGCCGGGTATTTTAAGATTCGGATACGAGGGTGGCGGCCCGTACCGCTGTTGAGCAATGAGCCATGGCGGCGGAATCTTGTGTGAGTTAGGGCCCACAGGCATTCCCAAAGCAATGCGCAACTCCTCGGAGAGATCTCCGGGCTTCTTTTCCTTAAGGCGCGTCTCAAACTCCTTGCCCTCGTAGTAGAGATCGCCATGAATGGTCATGCGTGGCTTGGTCTGCCACTTAAAGAAGGCATCGTGCAGTTTCTGGTAGTCTATGTCAATTTTGCCCATCTTGGGACGGACGCGTTCACGCATCTTGGCCTTGAGGGTCTTTGCATCCTCTCGTTCCTGCAAAGATTCACGCATCTCCATGATGCCCGTCTTTTTGATGAAGGCGGGGAGATCAAACGGAGGCTTCTCGATACCCCTTTTGCCCTGCAGATATTTTCGCTTGAAGCACCAGTGCCGCGGCACTTGCACTGTGTTCCTATAGGCTTTCAGTTGGACCAGTAATTTGGGATCTCTGGCAGTGACATCGTGCATCTCCACGACATCAGGCCGAGAGACCAGCTGTTTCAGTTCTGCCACACTAAGGCGGGTCAGTTTCTTGAGTTTTCGCTTGGACAGCTTCTCTTTATCTTCCTTGCGCTCGTCGTCATCATCGCCGTCATCGTCTTCATCTTCGAGCAGTTTGTCGGTCGCCTTTTTGTCCTTGGGCCGTGACTCAGAATCTAGTGAAGACTTGTCCTTCTCCGCAGGCTTTGGTTTGTTCTCCAGCTTGAAGATTTCGAACACACGATAAAACTGACGGTACATTGGCGCCAAATCTGCAATGGTTATCTTTTCGGGCACGTATCTGGGAGGGATACAAGTTTATTAGTTTGGTTCCTAGGGACACGCTTCTAAGACTTACTCTATGGTCACATCTTCATCATTGGCCTCGTCAGCCTTCTTGTCCGTATCTTTCTCATCGCCACGATCCTTCCTGCGCTTGCTGCGACTGTCTTTGCGTTTGTCCTTCTTTTCCTTTTCGGCAACCTGTTCGTCCTCGCTGCCCGCTGCTTTGGCCTCCGAATCCTTGGCCTCTGAATCCTTAGCCTCCGGATCGTGCTCATCTGCTTGGACCAACTGCTGCTGCCGTTCGAACTCAATCTGGTGGCGTATCCTCTTGTTCTGCTTCTTTCGCTTCTTCTTCTTTTTGTTACGCTCCGCCTTGCTTTGCTTGCCGGGCTTTTGGCCTCCACTCCCGTTCACCTGGTTATCCGCATCCTCCTCGCTGTCCTCGCCCACATCCGCTTCGTCGCCGTCCTGGGTAGCACCCCCGCTGCCACCCAGCGAATCGGCGTCCACCGTGAACTCGGCTGCCCTTTGATCCTTTAAAGCCAGTACATCCTCCAAGGCCTTGGGCAGGACCAGTTCTCCGGCAGCTTTATCGGCATCTACAGCATCTTCGGAGGCATCGCCGGCGCCATTTGCGCTCCCATTGCCGTTCTCATTTCCATTGGCCGCCGCACTTTCGTGCTGCTGCTGGTCGAAGCGAATGGACATGAGCGGCGTGGGATGGCCGGGCTGGAAAGATTGGCATTCAATAGATGTCTCGGCGATTGGGCTCTGGAGCAAACTCACCTCGTTGTTCAACTGGTCCGCCATAAATTAAATTAATCTATAAAAACCCAAGCCGAGCCGTAATTTTTTTATAAACCACAATTCTAGTGATGGGGCGACAAGATATTTTTGTACCACTGAGGTATATCGATACATTTCGATAAGAAAAGAAACGAAGCAAAGACAAGCTGGCACCCCTATAAGACAGGGTGATCTTAGTACGAAAAGCGTGGTTTGTGGCGACAGCTGATTTAAGGAGGTAAATATTAAAATATTCAATGGTTAAACGTTTTATAATGGTAATTTGTCCTTTATAGTACGATAAAAAATTGGCTGCATCCGCTGAAATTAGTACAGTTTAACACTACAGGTCCTAAGCATGTTTAAATTTAATTTTGATGTGGAGGCGGAATCCTCTGAAGATCCAGAGGCCCTTAAAACTGATATTTTCAGCAAGCAGGAAAATTCAGAAGAACGTCGTGAATCGGGGAACACAGAGGTTACAGAATGGTACCAGTCAGAGAAGGTAAAGCCACTGGATAATCTTATCTCCACAATGGACTTCTATGAGATGAATGCCAAGGAAATGGAGGTGGGAAAGACAGCGATAAAACATCTTGTGGCCGGGTTTCTGCTGGAAGATTTAAAAGAGCAATCCCACTTGGTAAACCTGGACCTCAGGAAATCTGAGGAAAAGCATTCAGATCTTATTTCCGGTGTCTACGAGGGCGGTGCTAAAATATGGGAATGCACAGAGGATCTTCTACTATACCTATCCGAAAAGTATGAGAACTCATTCTGGAAGGAGAAAAGTGTCTTGGATTTGGGATGTGGTTGCGGATTGCTGGGAATATATGCCATGAAACATGGCGCACTGGTGGATTTTCAAGACTACGTAAGCATACAAGTTTCAAAATAATTGGGTTTTAATATGTCATATATTTTCAGAACAAAGATGTGTTGGAATATATTACATATCCAAATATCATGCTTAATTTAGACGACTCTTTATCTGAAGATGAGAAACTGAAATTTTTGGACAAAAGTACAACCTTATATTCTGGAGACTGGACTCATTTTGCTGAATTAACGAGGGATGAAGAGAAATACGATGTTATATTAACCTCAGAGACTATATACAATATCAATAATCAGCAAAAGCTGTTGGAAACCTTTGCTGGTCGCTTAAAATCCGAAGGAGTCGTTTTGGTTGCTGCAAAATCTCATTATTTTGGAGTTGGTGGTGGCCTGGAACAGTTTTCAGAAAGCATTAGGCTGGGAAATGTTTTCCAAAGTGAAAGTGTTTGGCAGGCAGAAGAAAATTTAAAAAGAGGCATCTTGCAATTACAATTTAAATAAAATGTATTTTGGAATTAACTATAACCCAATTTTTAAACATTGTGATAATGATAACAGATTAAGTTCAAAAATAGCGATAGCATAAAGCCAAGTTGGCAGCTCACTATATGCGGGTCACCCTGTACTAGAGGAGCATTCGTCAGCTGTGTTGTTGTAGTTGTCGGTATTCCGGAGAAATTGTGAGTAAATTCGTTGTTCTCCGATAAAACAATTAAAATGGACCCACCCAGATCTGATTATAGATTTTGAAACATTTCTCCAGTCAGCCACTAGGGCGTGTACTAATCTAATCTAAACTGTTTCCGAACACGCTGCTCGGAACGCCTTAAAAAACGTTCGTTTGTCGCGCTATTTGCTGTCCAAATCGATGTTCTTGATGTCAGCCGGCTCCTCCGATTTTGTGTCTGCAGCCTGGAGATCAGAGGCTGAGGAGTCCAAAAGGGGTGAAAACGAGAGTCTCTGCTGCTGCGAGTACGTGGCGGAGGACAGTGGACAGCGATCCCACATCCTAGGATGTTGTTGTAACTGCGTGGACTTCGACTTAGTTTGCACGCGGTAGGAACCACAAAAGAAAAGCCGGCTACAACTACAATTAAATATCCCACAGACTTATCACCTGCCGAGCCATTGATCGAAGGAACATCGACGGCATGCTCATCGCTTTCCAGGATAGACTGCGCCTGCCTTGGCGCGGAGGAGCCAAGCGAATCTCCCCCGCAGCCGTTGCTCCTGCGTTCATTGTGCCGCTCATGCTGGGACTGGCCACTCTGAACTCAAAGACCGCCATAGTGCTGATGCTCACGCTGGTGGGCTTCACCATCTGGGGCATGCAACTGGCCAAGCGGACCGCCACGCGGACAAACTTCTTTTTGAGCTGGCTGGTCTTCTCGGTGTTCTACATGATTATCATATTTGAGTTTCAGGTTCCTCTTCTGGAGCTGGCTCCGGAGGAAAACTACGCGTTAATGTTCTTCTCCTGTGCCGCTTTGTACTGCCTCTACTCCGCCAAGACACTGTCGCCCTTGAATCTTGTTTCTGCTCAATACGGAACCACTCCCAAGGATGAGCTGCCTGGCATTGCCGAGGCTTCAAGTGGCGAGGAGCAAGCGGAGGCCCAGACCACACTCCAGATGGAGAGTGTGCTAAGTTTGGATGATGACGAGGTGGTCGATATGGACACTGCTGAGCGATCGGGCTTGATGCACGGTCAGCCCAATATCTGTGAGATCTGCCGGAAGGTGACTCCAAGGCGGGCATACCACTGTCCCGTCTGCGGAACCTGTGTGAAGAGGCGCGATCACCACAGCTACTGGCTAAACTGCTGCATTGGGGAGCGGAACTACGTGTGGTACATTGTTGGATTGGCTCTGTCGGAGATCGCTCTGCTACTCGGCGCAAACTTGACCCTTACTTCGATTTGCCATCCTTTCATGGCGGTGCGACCGCTTGGATATCCAGTTCTCTTGCCCGACGACTGCAGTGAGGTGTTCGAGGGCTTCGAGTGAGTAGATACTTTGTTTGCAATGACACCTTTTTAAGCACACTCTGCGTCTAGGCTTGGAATCTCCTTTGTGGTGGCTTGCTACGCTCTGCTCATTTCGGCCTACATAGCCTTTATACTCAGTAGACAGGCTTATTTGTGGTGGAAGGGAACCACCTTGCACGAATACAAGCGCGCTTCTAACGCCGGTGGTCGCAACCGAATCTGGAGCAACTGGCGAGCCATCTTGAAGTGACTACTCACACACCAAAAAGCACAAGCTTGTCGCTAAGATACTAAAGTATTTCAAATCTAAATGCTGTTCTCGGTAGTTGTACTTAGTCGTAGCGCCTAAAGGTCTTAATTGCAATTTAAAATTTATTCAACATAAATATAATTAAGAAACTAAAAACGCACAACGAATAAGCGTAAAAATTGTCTATCGAGTAGCTACCATAAGCTGTCCTCTCTTGGTTTGTAGTCCGGCAAAAGCTCCCAGATTTTCATTCGCCACCGCTGGCGTCGCTCCTCCGTCTCCTTCTCGATCTTCAGGATTTGCGGCAAACGTCGCCAGCAGTCCAGGACCTTCCATTTCAGGTGCCTATTGAATTGGTTCAATTGGAAATGAATAATACAATGACTTATATTTTACAGGGACTTACCACTCATGGTGTGAGATGGCCTGCCGAGACTTGGTGTCGTCAATCATTCGGCAGTGTGTGGAATACTTATGCCACCGCCCAAACCAGTGCTCCATGGAACGCAGCGCATGCCAATCGATTGCCACTAGCATCTTGCTCTTCTCGTTCTGCACATACACCATCCATGCGTACAGAGCGCGGCGCTTGAGTATGTTGTGCCAACAGGTCTCCGCTTTGATGATCTTCTCGCGCTGTCTGTATGTCGTATAGCTGTGCCACGAACTAAATGCGTTCTTTGTGATCAGCTGCCATTGGAATACAGAAAGATATCAGTGATCAAAAAATCTAAGCCCATATGAAAGCATACCAGGCAACGGAATTCCTCGCTCTTAACCAGATTCTCGCGTTTCCGCTCCAGCAGTCGTTTGAAGCCCTCCATGCCCGTCCGTTTGAGAAGCTTGCGACTAAACTCTACGGCCTTTCGTTGGTTCTCGATAAAGCGCTGACGCTCGCGCTCTTTCAGCACCTTGGCCATTTTCTCCTGGCGACGCTTCTCTTTAAGGATCTCCATTCTGAGGCGCTTGGCTTCCTCGTCCTCCTGGCGCTGTTTAGAATTGCAGGTGGGTTAATGCTTCAAATAAATGTGTTAACCAACCTTAGCCTCCTCTAGAGCTTGTTTGGCCGCCTCCCTTTCGGCTTCTGCCTGAGCCCTCCGCTGACGGGCCTGCTCATGACGCATACTTCGCTCTGTTGCCCGCTCCTGCATGTGCTGCAGAAACCGTGGCTGCAGCAGGGCCTTACCCTGCAGCCTGTCCATCTCCTCGTCATCCGCATCGCGCAAGCTGCCGATCAGTTGCAAGCACTTCGCCTTGGCTTTCGCCTTGGGATCCCCGCACCGGATGACCGTTTTGAGTTCCTGCTTCAGATCCTCGCGCGCCTCCTTGGCCTCGTCGCTGAGCTTCGTCAACTTAAGCTGCATAATTAGTCGCTCTTGGCGCTCCAGCTTGATGCGCTGTAAGTCAATGATGTCCTGCTGCACTTTGAGTCTGGAAGAACAGTGGCCTTTACAAAACATGTGTCATCTGTGTACAGCAGAAACTTACTTGTTCTTAAACTGCTTCGCCATCTTTACGGCATCCTCGCGCTTCTCCAGAGATTTCTGGGTGATCTTACTAGTCTCGACCACCGTTTCTGTGCGCTGTCGCCTTTTTTCCTGCCGCACTTTGTCCAGAAATGCGTTGATTTTCTGCACTCGCGTATCTCGCGCCTGACACGATTGTCCTTGCTCTCTCTCGATCTTCTCCATCGTTGTGAAGTGTATCCACTTGAGAAAGTACTTGCGCATCACTACCAACTGGGTGTTAGCCCTGGCCTGAAACAGCTGCTCGATGATCTTTTGCTTCTCGTGTGTGGGCGCCACATCCGACTCATCTTCACTGGCGCTGGATGGCTGTTGGGGCTCGGGTTCCTTGGGCTTGACCACTACTTTTGGCAAGTCTATCCGACGGATGAGCAGCGGTTCTGGTTCCGGCTCGGCCTCTGAATCTGCATTGGGATGCGTGGTTGGTGTTGGAGTCTTCTTTGGGAGCAATTGAAACTGCACAAGCTTCGGCGGAATGGTCAAGCTCTTGTCAAGCTCTTCATTCTCCTTCTCGGCTGCTTCCAACTGGAGTTCATATAGCGCTTCCTCGGCTAAATCAGATATTACGGAGTCAATGCCATCGCTGGTGTTTGAGCAGGTGGAGGACTCTCTCTTTAGCAAGGTCGGTTCGCCTTCTGGTTGCTGCTCATGCCTATTCTCTTGTAGCAGCTCCTCCTCGTGGCGCACTGTGCGGACATGGAGCATCTGCCGCTCGGCAGCCGCCCGCATGGGGCGAAAGAACTCCTCGGTGGAAGTAAGAGGACTTGGAGTGCGGCACCGCAAAAGCTTCGCCTTGCTCTCATCCGCCTGTACTTGCTTGGTGAAGTTACGATACTCTAGGGCGTCAAATGAAATCACTTGCTCCTCTATAAACGGGGGAATCTCAACCACCTGCGCTTCTTGCTCCGTCCATTCACAATCCATGTCCGCTTCCGCCTGCTTCTCTGGTTCCGCCCTCAGTTGCTGGATCAGGCTCTTGGTTGCCTCTGACTTGGTTTCGGAGCACATCTGTGACATCTGACTCAAGGCCTGAACGGGAGTGTTATAGAAGTTGTCTATGTGCTGTGCTGCCTGAGCCAGACTCTTCACCAATGGTCCATTATTCAGTTTAAAATCCGGCTTAGTGGGGGGCACGCGGTGGGACTTGCTCCGCTGGAACTGTCTGGACAACTGCTGGCGAAACTTCTGTAGCTGATTGTCTATGAAACGCTGTTCCACTTCAAGATTGTGCGCTTTGGTGGCTTCCAGGGAGTTGCTATGGTCATGGGCAATGGTGGCTAGGGGAAGTTTGTGTGGTATCTTCTGAAACTATTTGAATTTCGTATTATTCATGGGTGGGTATTTAGGGCTTTTATTTCAAGTGTAGATCATAATCTAGATAATATTCCATAAAGAGTATATTTTATTTACCATTTTATGTCGCATGTCCATTATCACAGAAGGATTCAGCTGTTTAGAATCGTTTCCTTCAATTAGAAGCCGCTCCTGTCGCCTTCCAACGTAATCCGCCTCGATGAGGCGACGCACTGCATCCGTCTTCAGTCCCAAAGGATTCGCCTGCAGGTGGCGCTTGCGTATGCGGTCCCACCGAGTCTCTTTACTGGGCTTCTCACGCCGCTTGGGATGCGACATCTTTATTCAACAACTCTTTCAAACTGTGAAAGTCAATTTCGTGTAGTTCACAATTTGAAAATGTTTTGTGAACTTTGGAAAATTTTGTAAACAAGTTGAACTTATTGTCCTGACAACGAAAACTGCCGGGGTGACTTTTCCCTATCAACCATTTATATCCAAACCTACATTCTAGATAAAGATCTATTGGGCACATATTGTTTGATACAACGCCAGGTAAATAGCCTTTGCAGTTAAACCAACTAATTTTTCAAAATGTGCATCCCCAAATAACAAAGAACATTGCGAATGCTTTCAAAGCACAGCTTGATCCAGTTTAATCGTTATAAAGTTTTTATAAATGCCATAAATATTAGATAAGTCGATAAGTAACAAAAATTTTTGAGGACATTGCAAGCTTAGTTTAGCAGTATATTTCGTAGTAAATGATGTGACTTTAGGCTTAACCGGCGGCAGGGTCCTTCTTAGTTTTCTCCTTTTTGCCCTTTTGCTTCTCGGCGGCGGCCAACTCCAGATCAATGGGAGCGGGCTTGACGAACGGAATCTCATCCTGGAACTTCGCAGGCAAGTACTTCTTCAATGGCTCCGGCACCTTGATGCCCGTCTCTGTCTGGTGGGTCTCCAGGATGGCGCAGATGACGCGAGTGGCTGCGCACATCGTGGCGTTCAGCATGTGAACATAGTCGACGGCGGCGTTCATCTTCTTAGTCTGGCCGTAACGGACGAGCAGACGACGGGCCTGGTAGTCCAAGCAGTTGGAGCACGAGACAAGTTCTCTGTAGGCGCCGCTGCCGCCGAACCAGGCCTCCAGATCCAGCTTCTTGGAGGCTGCATGGTTGAGGGCACCGGAAACGATGTTCACCACGCGATATGGAATGCCCAGCGACTGGCAGAACTGCTCAGCATTGCCGATCATTTCGTCCATCATCTCCCATGACTTGTTGTCGTGTGGGGAGGTCAGTACGAACTGCTCCACCTTCTCGAACTGGTGGACGCGGAAAATGCCGCGAGTGTCGCGCCCGTGCGAGCCCACTTCCTGCCGGAAGCAAGTGGACAGACCGGCATACTTAATGGGCAGCGAGGCCTCCGGCAGCCACTCATCGCGATGGTAGGCAGCGATGGGCTGCTCTGAGGTGGCAATCAGGTACTTCTCATCAATACCCACCTCCTCGGCCTTCTCGCTGCCCTTGCCCACCACCTTGTAGAGCTCCTCGTCGAACTGTGACAGCTGGGCGACCTCCTGCATTACCTCCTTTCGCATGAAGAAGGGCGTGTACAGGGGAACGTAGTCACGGGCGTACAGCAGATGCAGAGCGTGCTGGATGAGAGCCTGTTCCAAGAAGACTGCGGCTCCGGTAAGGAAGTAACCACGTCCGCCGGACACTACGGCTCCCTTCTCCGCGTTCATGCCGTCGATCATCACGATGAGGTCGACATGCGAGTACTTGCCGCGCTTTTCGCAGTCGCCAAAGGTTCGTTCCACGCGGTTCTCGTCCTCGTCATTAGACACAGGGACGGACTCGTGCAGGTGGTTGCCCACCTCCCGCAGCGAGGTGTTCCTTGTCTGCTCGGCAAGCTCGAGCGACTTCTGGTTCTCCGTCATTGCGTCGTCGATGAGCACGCGCAGCTGCTTGATCTGGTTGACGGTCAGCGGCTGCAGTGTCTCGGCCACAATCTCGGTGAGGTCCTTGGTCACTTCTGCGGGCGGGTCCTCGCTCATGGCACCCACCGGCTCCTTCTTCTTCATCTTCTCGCCGATCACCTTGCTGCAGACGTTCTTCACCTTGTTCAGGTTATCGGCACGGTGGCGACACTGACGCCACTCCGTATCCTTGGCGATCACAGTCTCCACCAGCGCTACATCCTTGAAGCGCTTCTTTTGGTTTTCGCGCACGAGGTCGGGGTTGCCTCCCTTGTCGCTGCGAAACAGATCCAGATCCAGCACCATTTTAGCTAGGCTTTAATTTAGTTCCAGTAGCGGATTAGCTTCGATTCTCGCGTTTCGTCGGCGTTTTCACAACGTGGCTAGGCTTTTCGTCAGCTGGCGAGTGTTGGAAATCGATGGAGGTGCATATTATGGTTGAGATGATGACGAAGTGCATTCTTGTGACTCATCAAATTCTTGAGTGCTCCTGAAAAGTTAAGCCAATAATTGTATACCAATGTATCTAAATACATTTAGTTTAACTATTAGCTTCAGGAAATACTCCTTTTACCAGACAATATAACCATATAACCTGACAAAGTTTATATCGCCTAAAACGTACATTTTATTCGTCACAACTTGAAACTAACCTGTCACCCTTTCACAACACTATTTGCTTTTACCAGCTGTTTAAAAACATTCCGATTGGGGAACAGCAGCGAATTCGCAACAGATTCCGACTTCAACGATGAGCTTTATTGACCAGGAAGTCACGGAGTTCCGAGCAAAATGTGAGAAGCAGGTGCCGCACACGAAAATCATTATTTGCTCCAACTCTCTGATCCGGGTTGACATATACCCGGAACGGCCCAATCGCTCGATGACAATGTGCCTCCGATTTCCAGAACACTACCCGCAGAGCACCCAAATCCTGGTGGAGCTGAAGAGTCGAGTGTACTCCGATATTCTTCTGACTGAACTTACCCGGCTGATCGACGACTATGCCAGGGATTTCCTCGGGAAGCCACAAGCACTGCCAGTGCTGGCCTTCGCCCAACAGTATTTAACGGATAATCCGCTGTGCGTGTGCTTGGAGGAGATCAAGCAGCTGAGAGCGGACATCAAGACTGGAGGCACGGAGAGCCAATTGAAGCTGAAGCAAAAGAACAGGAGTGTGGAGCTGGTGGCGAAGGGAGGACGCTACACCTACAAAGTCACCGCTGTTGTCCCAGACAGCTATCCCATGCAGAGTGTGGAACTGCGCGGCCAAGAGTCCAATCTTCCGGCAGTGCTCGTGCGTTACCTAAACGGCCAGTCGAAGGAGATAGGTCGGCAGTGCGTGGAGCCGCCGATCCGTATGAGCAAGGAGGCACTGGCCAATTTCCGACCTGTTAGGAGTCTGCAACGCTCGCTCAAGTTCTGTCTAGAGGCCACCCGGGACTTTCACACCGAACGTTGTCCCATTTGTGATAGTACCGTGCTACCGGAGTATCCGGAGGACACAGAATCGGATGAAAATGCGGACTTCTTTATCGAGCGCGTCTACTGTGGTCACCTCTTTCACCAGGGCTGCCTTAAGAAATACCTGTCGGAGCCCCCGTTTCCAAAGGGCGGCAAACTATGTCCTGCCCAGCGTCGCCATCCTCGTTCTGATGCCCAGACCTATATGGGAAGGTCACAGGGTGGAGGAGCTGCCGTATCCAAAACTCCGGACGATGCTGTGTGCGGCATAAAGCTGGCCCATGATCGCTGGGTGGTAAGCGTAAAGACCGCGGAGGCTCGCTGGGCCCAGAAACAGGCTCGCCAGCGAGAACTGGAAGAGGTGGTGGACTTCCTGCAATAACAGAGGATCAACTCAAGAACAGCTTTCTGTTATGGTTATGTATTTTGTGATTTCTATTCGAATACGCTTATATTGCTAAAGATGAAATAAATAAAGTGAAGATGAAGTGCGACTAGGTTGGTTTGGGCAAGTGTTTCGTCTATCCAACGCAATTGAGCACACTGCGGTGTTACAGTCTTTTTTAAAGATTTAAAAATAATAAATCAATTATTCTAAAGAAATTATTCGATCCTTTTGCGGTATATGTCGTGAGAAGCTCTATTAAATGCTCTATAAAATTCTGCGAACGGAAACTTATTTGTTAGATGTACGCCTCTGTTTTAGTCGGAGAATTCCAGATTCAGCGGAATAGAAACTGTAACCAGGCGTGGTAGTTCGGTTACGGATGAAGAAATGTGCTGGAAGCTCTGTTCGGTGCAGGCTTATTCGGCTAAACTTCAGAAATCCGTGACTATTTCGTCGTCCTCATACCGCTTGATGGGATCTCCCTTGATCAGGGAGGAAATTAGGCTATAAAGAGGAGGATAAGATAACTTTGTAAAGATGAATATACGGGTTTCAACTCCTAGCTCACCAGTACAAGGCCACGAAGAACATGACGAAGTAGTAGCCCAGATAAATCATACAATTTCTTAGGTGAACCTTCAGCAATCCCCTACTGTGTATGTCCACCGGATCGTAGACACCCAGGCTATCGCGTCGCTGGCGATGCAACTCGTAGAACAGCCAAATCACCATCGGCAGGTTCAGGAGGAACATCACCCAGTGGCCTCCGAGTAGCAGGAGGACGCAGAGAAGGGCATGGGATCCGAACTTGGGTATTACCCAAAAGTTCAGGCGTCGGCAGCACTCCTGGGCATTAAGATAGTCGCACTCCAGGTCCGCCAGAGTCAGGACCTAAAACATTGTACTGTCAGAAAGTTTTTTCTTCCATGGAAATCCACACTCACATAGTAAATCAGGAGCAGGAGTATTGCTCCGTAGACCAATAGGGTGATACAGAAGTTGGCTGTTTCGGGCAGAAACATAATTGCACTATAAATTCGCTTTGACACTTAAAATTACGATGTTTTTCTATGTTATTTACAAAATGTTATGCATTTCGCGTTTGATTTGTTTTTAATTAAGAAATCGTACTATAAAATTCCATACTGTGTTTTGCGAAACAGTGCTGTAAAGCGTGTTTTCAATGTTGCACCCCTTAAATGTCTTTATTCTTTAGTGTGTGCAAATCTCTACTCTCAAAAAAAATTAATTTATGGTCTTTATAATTCGTTTAAGTTGTACTTTTTTTACCCGAGCCATGGCTAGAAATTTACATAGACCAATTGAACAATACAACTTAAACGCTTATTTAGTTTAAATATTGATTAGTCCGCTTTAACGGTCGATGGCGAAATGAAGTTATCGGTTTTTCGCGATTATTGTTGACATAACATCAGCTGTTTAGCCAGCAAACCAAAACAAAACAATAAGTATTTTTTTTTAAACAATATCTCTAATTTTAATTTTTACTACATAATTTATCAAAATCCGGCTGATGACGGCTGCGGGCTTTAATTCAATCCTCTGCCTGAGACAGTTAGTCCGGCAAAACAGGCGACAGTTTTCAGCCCCGGCGCAATCCGTGCTTTCCGGCTCACAAACAAATGGCCATGAATCGCCACCATCAACAGCAAAATCCGCGGACAAAATGCGCGGATGGCAGCTGCACAACTACGGCGATATTGACGAGCTGCAGTTCTCCGATATGCTTAAGATTCCCCAGATCCGTAGCTCCAACGAGTGCCTGGTACGCATCAGGTCGACGGCAGTGAACCCCATCGACCTGGCCATGCTCCGTGGATACGGAGCCACGTTGCTGAACAAGATGCGATGCCAGCCGGGCGACGGCATCGAGTTTCCGCTTATTCTGGGCCGCGAGTTCTGTGGCGAGCTGGTGCAGACGGGAATGGGTGTTTCGGTGCCTCTGGGATCCCGCGTCTGGGGAGTGGTACCCCTGCAGGCCAGCGTTGGATCGCATGCGGAGTACGTAGCTGTTCCTTCATACTGTGTAAGTAGTTAAACTACTTAAAAAGGTCTTTAAAGTAACTTGTAGTCCATAGCTTGCTCCTGCACCCAAAGAACTGGATGATTGCGAGGCCGCCAGCGTGTTGTACGCCGGATTGACTGCTTGGTCGGGTCTGTACATAACCGGAGGCCTTGGTGGTCCTTGTGGAGCCACAACAGCTTCCGGTGGAGGTGCCCACAAGCGGGTCTTAGTACTCGGCGGCTCCGGTGGCGTTGGCACATTGGCCATACAAATCCTCAAGTCTCAAAAAGTACAAGTTTTGGCAACCTGCAGCGAAAATGCCGTTGAAATGGTTCGCAATCTGGGAGCCGATCTAGTGGTAGACTACAACAACCCGAAGGCTATGGAGGAGCTGTGCAAATATGCACCCTATGACATCGTGCTGGACTGCGCCGGACAAGGAGGTCAGAAGGCGGCGGAATCGAAGTTCGATTTTCGCCAGTACATCACCTTCTCATCTCCATTGCTGGCCAACATCGATAAGCAGGGACTGGGAGTGGGCGCGCTGAAGAATGTGTTCGATCTGGTCCAGACCAACGTTAGGTCCGTCACGCAGCGTGGAGGTCTTGTCAAATGGGGCTTCTTTAGTCCTGCCCCACAGGGAATTCAGTTCCTACAGAAACTAGTGGAGCAGCGAAAGGTAAGAGTTGTTGCCCCGAGTTACTCTGTAAACTAATTGCACTCTGTTTTTAGCTGATGCCGCTAATCGATAGCAGCTACGGGTTCAGTGAGCTGCCAAAGGCCTTTGAGAAGATGAAATGTGGGCACCTCCGGGGCAAAATTGTGGTGAAGCTGCGAGACGAAAGTGGCGACTAAGAGACTGATATTGTTGTTTCCGTTGAATTAAGGGCTTGTGTTGGTTAATTAAAACACTAGAGCAATCTACTTAGTGAAACAGTAAAACTTTGACGCCATTCCAATGCATCACTTGCAGGGTTCAAAGAATGTAGTTCCAGGCCAAGCCACTGACGCATATAAATATTTTCTATATAAAATAATCGACGATCTACGTGATTAGAGCGCTGTCCCTCCGTCAGGGATCACCTTTAAATCACCGTGAAAAGCCGATCCATCGCTTAGCGTCCATGCACCTGAAGGTCGTCGTGTAGCTGCAGCTCAAATGATTGAACTTCGGCAAGCATACTCCTGGTCTAGCGCCCATCGCGAAACTACAAAAATTCCGGGAGCAATGTTGACGAGGCACGACACACGCCATCGGCCTGCGAAAATTTCCGTGCGGCTAAATTTATTCCATCGCCTGGCTGGCTAGCTGCCGCAGCAGCGTCCGATACCCAGATTCGTTATCAGAGGTTGAGTGGTCGGCGGCGGGGTGATTCCGCAGCACGCGGCTGGCCGCTCCAATCACATCGCTCACATGCGTTCGCAACGCTCCAGAGCATCGAAACACGACCAGGCCACTATCGTCGGGGTCGAGGCTTTCCAAAAGCAAACAAAAAGCCTCTCCATCGCCGCTATCATCCGACATAGCCGGCGAAAAAAGCGAAGAATGCACGCGCCTCTGTTTTGTTTTGGTTTTTATTAATAGCTCTCAATTTGTTACCGGGCCCGTCACTCTTGATATGATTGGAGGTGCCGACCCGATGCTAGCCGATGTGAAAATACCCTTAGAAATAGTCACTACCGGGATAGATATCTACTTAGTAAAATGCTGTCTTCTTGTTACATGTTACTTAAAACGTGGAAAGCTTAATGGGCAAAACTCAGCTGATATTAGTTATACCCAAACTAGAGTGCCTAAGATTGCTGAGGGAAATTTTTAGTCTGAGCTGTCGGAAGACCTTGAAATCCCAGCGCTTATCTGATGTCTGAATGAAATTAGCTGTTATTGGGAAAAATTGTCAAGGCAGTAACAAACGCGAGTACTTGAGATATGTAAGCGCGGCGCAAGCATTTAAACATAATAATATCATCCACTGAGTGCTTGTCATTTTGATAATGGAACCTTTTCAACGTGTTTACGATGTGCACAATTGTGTTTCCTTACGCAATAATATTATTTGTTGGGGTAGCGCCAGGAAGATGGATAGAAATAACTTACAAGTAGCAGAGTTTATCTATTAATGATGACCCATTCTGGGCCACATATTATACATATATTACTCCGAAACTGGAGCAACCTCCTGGGTTTATGGCGTTCTTTTGGAAATTATTTGCATGCGATTTAGGGGATTTGGGTTTCGTTAGCACGCATTTCTTTATACACCAGTATTAATTTGATTTAAATTTGTATTTTAAACAGTGATATGGGGAATCGAAGCAGACGTCTGACTTGTAAGCGCTTTCGATCAAGGATGCGTGGTGTTTTAAATAAGTTTTCAGTCCGACGGGCCAACATCACACTCATTCCACATAAACTATCTATTTGGATCGGGACACTAAAATAATACAAACATTCCTATTTCGAGACCAGTTCAACCAAATTGGCAATGGATAAAAATAAATCTTCTTTGCTTCCATATATAATGGACATGCTTAGTCGCGAGCCTCAGTTGTGTAAGTAACTTCCTGATTCTGCTATTAAAGAATACTTTTAGATCCGAAATCAAAAAATACGAGCACTCATTCCAAATTTTCAGGCACTACTTTGGACGATTTGGTCAAGAACATCAAGGATATAGTGCTTGAGGAGCACATCAATCCCTTCGGCAGCCTCAAGCGCGCGGTGGAGTTCGCCCTGGAGGTGGGCGTCAACCTGGGCATCATCTCGCTGACCGACGAGCGGGTCCGCATGCCCTTCAATTTCCGCCGAAGCCTGCCCAAAACTAGGGTGCCCCTGGCTACAAGGATCTCGCCTCGCTTGGGGCGGCGGGCGATCAAGCAGCGGATGCCGACGACCACGGCGGCCAAGCTGGTGGCGAGCAAGAAGCGATCGGGACGAAAGTCCAAGAAGACTGATGGGGCAGCCGTAAGGAAGCGACACTAGGGGCGACCAAGTGGCGATACGCTCTGTTCCGTTTAATAAACAATACAATTACGAGTGGCCTGCGAACGCCGCGTGTTATTGAACCAGACGGACGGGTTGTGGAGCAACTGGGTTAACTGGGTGATGGCACACACTTGGACTAATTACCAGGGCAGGGTTACGGAAAAATGAAAAGTAAATGTATACCTCTGTCCTGCTCGACGCCTCATTTTCTATTTCATTTGGTCGTAGTTAGAGGCGCGTTTTGCATAGAAATGAATAATTCAGCGGCTGGTTGTGGCGATTTTGGCGCAGTAGTAATGAGATCGGTGGATTTTCTATAGGCTATGGTTACGGGGAAATTAAAATGCGCCTTCTGGTGGCCACCGCCACCCCCGGACCCCGCCAGCCGGATATATATAAGGAATCCGGCGAGTGCAGCCCTTGTTCAGTCTGTCTGCGCAACACGTCGGATCTATACGAGCCCACCAAAAGGATATATAGTCACACTCCAACTAAAAGGACCTCCTAGCCCAGCCAATATCCTGGTTGTCCCGCAAACCAAACGGCACACGAAAAGGATACGCGATCAGTGAAGTGAAAAAGGTACCATCCATAGATAGTCAAGTGAAGTGTACCATAGAAGTGTTAAATGCGAACTTTTTTGTATCGTCAGGATAACACGCCTTACAAATAAAATTTGCGATATTGAAGTTACGAATAGTCAGCCTACTTACTTGTAATTCAAAGAACTTCCTCGTGTCTAATGAGCATAGTGAGGTGTTTTAATTAACCGAACGTGGTCGCCTAATCGCAAAATTCCAATGAATTGTGAATGTTTACTGAATAATGTATTTACTATATATATTATATGCATAAATGGGTCCTTAGAAATTATTTTTTTAGTGAAAGGACTCTAAATATTTTGAAACTCATAAACGCCTGTAAACATGCAAAAAAGCCAATGGATTACCAAAAAATCGCACTCCTAAGATAATACTAATCCTTTAACAAAGAACAAGTGATAAAAAACATTCATAAAAAGTGAGAATCCTAAAAAGTTTTGCCCCTTCAATCGCAATTACTTCTCAAAACACTTTGAATCTGTATTCCGGAAACCTTTGAACCCACCAAAGCGAACATTCAGTACATTACGTCCATGGTGTGAGTTCTGGCACGCGTCGCATTCGCTGATTCGTGTGTTTAGTCCGCATTTGGGGCAATATTCTACCAAAAGCTTATCGGAACTCTGCTCCCCTGCGTTCCCGATCCCGACCAGGCGCAGTGCACGCAGTCGAGAGCTGGACGACTATCTCGCGGTCCGAATCCCGTAACGTGGCAACAGGGAACCCAGTGACCCGAAGTGGCCGAATCGTACGATCCCTGCACGTATAGTTGATGGGAATGGAAGGTGACTCTGGTGCAGTTGCTCCTTATCAGCAGGGCGACAATATTCATTAAATCAAGTGGGCTGAATCGCAGCAATCGCGAGTCTATTACTCATGATTGGCCGATTGAGCACTTTTTAATGGAAAACCTTATCTATGCACCGAAGATTAGTAGATCGATCGCCTCTAAAACGATTATCATATGAAGTGCAAGTCACTGAAATTCCATAAACTTACACTCCACCCATGTTTTATATAGATAGATTAATTTAATTGCACGCATTCTACAAAATCGACAAAATCATTAAGTAATGGTCTTATCGGTTTACAGTGTTATTTTACTCTTCCGTGAATGTGATAGAAATATTGTTTACATGCTGATAGCAGGGATTGATTAAATCGGATAGAGTTTGAAGTACTATACAAATTCAAGGTTAAATATCGTATTTGAAGTATTTAGCAATTTAGATATTACTTTTTCACTGTTGAATGGATGCCCAAAACAGTGTTCATTATAGATGCAATAGGGTCGCGTATTGTGTATATATATGAGTATTTACCCTGGTGTTTTGCGATATTTATAGATCCTTGTACAGGTGGACCCTCATACAGACTGAGCCAGAAAAAAGACTCCAGTATGCCGAACAGGAAGAAAACCCAAGCGGATGCGGCCACTGGCGAAGATGGAGACATCGTGATCTCGGGACTCTCCGGGAAGCTGCCGGAGAGCAGCAACATCGAGGAATTTAAGTACAACCTGCTCAACGGCATCGACATGGTCACAGATGAGCCCCGCCGCTGGGAGGCAGGCAAGTAGCGGGACACAGCACAAACTTATTCCAAACATACAATATTTTCAAAGGGTCTCTTCACCAAAATTTGGCCAAAAAGCCTCGCACAGCTAAAAGAACGGCTGTTTTGTGCAGCTAATTAACTGATCTAACCAACCATATCACTTTTTTGCTGATTTCCGAAAATCCATTTTTTGACAAATTTTGCATTTTTGGTAAGGGGTACCATCATCATTTTTTACGAAAAATGCCAAAATTTTGAAATTTTAAGGTTTTAATACAGGTCGATAGGAAATTTTATTAGGAATTCAGGGAGATATGACACTCCACTTTCACATAATTATTTAAAAAGTTACAGGCAAAATATTGAATATTTTTATCAAAAAAATGGGGTAAGCTCTTTGCGGAAATTCAATATTTTCAAAGGATCTCTTCATAAAAATGTAGCCAAAACAGTTGGCACAGCTTAAAAAAAAGGTGTTTTTTACAGCTACAGAACATAGCTAATTATCCTTATCCCTATGACAATATTTGATTAAAAAACAACTATTAAACAAAGCGAGGTATCCTTATTCGTATGGCATTTTTTCTTAATAAACAGAAGAAGTATATATAATAATATAATTTATAGGACAAGAAAGGCAAACAATATCGCTCAAGCATCCCCGTAGTTCACTATGGAAACCTTTTAAAAATGCCATTATCATATTAAATATGCACATGTAGCTTGTTAAATGAAAACGTTACTGAAGCTTTAAGCTCGATTATTGAATAATGTAATGGTGTAATGGTGAAACTTGCATTAATCAAAAGGCATCTATGGACTCCCCGAGCGCATGGCCAAAATGAAGGACTCCGATCTGGAGAAGTTCGACGACAAGTTCTTCAGCGTCCACCAGAAGCAGGCGGAGCTGATGGATCCCTGCATGCGGATGCTGCTCGAGCTGACCCACGAGGCGATCATCGACGCGGGCATCAATCCCGCCCAGCTACGCGGCAGCCGGACCGGCGTCTACATTGGCCTGTCCTTTGTGGAGACGGAGCACGAGATCCCCAACATGGAGCCGAGCAGCATCAACGGCTACTGCCTGACGGGCTGTGCGCGGGCCATGTTCGCCAATCGCATCTCCTACACGTTCGACTTTAAGGGGCCCAGCTTTATCGTGGACACCGCCTGCTCCAGCTCGCTGGTGGCCCTGAACCACGCGTTCGCGGATATGCGGGCGGGTCGCTGTGATTACGCCCTGGTGGCGGGCGTGAATCTCATCCTAAAGCCCATCTTTGCCCTCCAGTTCCTGAGGCTGGGCATCGTGAGCCACGACGGCGCCTGCAAGACCTTCGATGCGGCGGCCAACGGCTATGCCCGGGCGGACACCTGCGCCGTTGTGCTGCTCCAGAGGCGGAAGGAGGCCAAGCGGGTGTATGCCAGCATCTTGAATGTGCGCACAAATACGGACGGATTCAAGGAGCAGGGCGTGACATTTCCGGACGGGCGCATGCAACAGGCCCTGCTGGAGGAGACCTACAGCGAGATCGGCCTCAATCCGGATGAGGTGGTCTACGTGGAGGCCCATGGCAGCGGTACGCCGGTGGGCGATGATCAGGAAGCCAACATGCTGAGCAACTTCTTCTGCCGCCCCTCGCGATCCACACCGCTGCTCATTGGATCAGTAAAGTCGAACATGGGACACGCGGAGCCAGCCTCGGGAGTGAGTGCCCTGGCCAAGATGATCATCGCCATGGAGGAGGGCATTATTCCGAAGAATCTGCACTATCGCACACCCAATCCCGCGGTTCCGGCTCTGGTCGAGGGTAAGCTTAAGGTGGTGGATCGGAATCTTCCCTGGCAGGGTGGCATTGTGGGTCTGAACTCCTTCGGCTTTGGAGGAGCCAATGCCCATGTGGTGCTAAAGTCCCACACTAAAGCCAAGGATCCTAAAGCATCCCCGAAGGTTGGGGAGGCCGAGCAATCTCTGAGACTAGTTACCTGTTCCGGCCGCACTGAGGATGCAGTGCATCAGTTGCTGAAAGTGGCCACCGAGCAGAGGCACGATCAGGAGCTGCTGACCCTTATCAATGACATCCACTCGCATCCCATTCCCCTGCATCCGTTCAGGGGATACGCTGTCCTCGGAACCAGTGGGTGCGTTAAGGAGGAGGTGCTGCCCTACGAGGAGGAGGAGCGACCCATCTGGTTCGTCTACGCCGGCATGGGCAGTCAATGGGCCAGCATGGCCAAGGATCTCATGCAGCTGGAGGTGTTCCGGAACTCTATACAGCGCTGTGCCGAGGTATGTACTTTATTGAGTTTCAGTTATTGCTTAGCAGGAGTATATGATAATATATATTATTTATATATTTGTGATATTGTTGTATGCTTTGATCATAAAACATTTTAAAATATTGAATTTCATTGTTTCCAACAAAGAACCCTCAGTATTCCTGTATAGTTTCTTACCTGAAGTGCTAACGCTCTTCCATTAGCATTGCCTACCTAAGGGTGAATAAATTTCGATTCCAGTGCCCTATAATTCCCAAGAAGTTCTAGCTCAGATCGCATGTAGATACCCTTCGCTGGACATGAAATTTACTCTGGTTTCTCTTCAATTGTCGAATAAATCTTTCGCCTTTTACTAAAGATTTCCGTGGAGAGGAACACTCTAATGAGTCTAAACAGAATTTTTGTTTAGAGCCCCGCTGGCGTTTGCCTATGGGGCCATAATTTATAAATTAAATTATTAGCAAAAAATAAGTAATTCCAGTTGGGTCTGTAATCATAATAAAGACGGTTATTTTAGTAGTCAATAGTAGTCGAGAGCGATTGCCTGCAATTGTTTTCAATCAGTTATTTATATTGAAGTACATTCATGTTTAACTATTATAGAGAAATTACAAGTTTTTTTTCTAA